AAATCCTGCATTACCCATAATAAGGAATATACCATAATTCCCATAGTCTAGGGTCCTTAAGGTAATGCAGGATTTATATCATCAACCGTATGAGGAGCTGAAGCGTGTGGCAACCAGACCCGAAGCCCGCAGCCGTAAACCCGAGGAACGAAACCGTACATCCCACAGAACTTTACTTAGACGCCCAAGGTGACTTATTAAGCAGGCTATCAGAGGTATAAGTACCCTAAATGGCGTTACCGTTGGCAATTCCAAGTACTCATAACTGATTTACTAAGTTCCCTGGGCCTCCAAGTACTGTATAGACAGACATTGCACCTGTGTCGAACCCTACATGAAACCTGTCTGGGCGTCACGACCCCTCAACTTGCTTCGTGTGTGGACCCAACAACAACAGCATTAGCAGTTGCAGAAGTTGCGCTGCGATTTCCATTCAACTCTCCAGCCCCTCTACAGTGAACCTCTGAAACTGAAAGTTGGCACATGGGTTTAGGAGGATTGGTGCCAGGATCCCGTATAGTTTACCTTGCGGGCATGAGGATGTTGATGTTCCAACTTTCTGGATTCTACGATAAACCCCTCAAGCCCCTAGAGCCTTTCACATCTAAACGAGAACCCCTCGAGAGACCCTAAAACCTTCAAGCAAGCAAAGCAGGACTTAAACCCCCGAACCCAGAACCCCACAAACGAAAAACATAACAAAAACAACCCTTGACTCTCCCTAGACACCCCAACTACCCTCTAAAATCCCCCAAATACCCGAGTGTACCAGACCCTAAACCTTAAATCCATTTAATCCCTAACCCCTAAACTCTATATCCTAATCCGCAACCCCTAAACCCAAAGCCCTGAACCGTTTTGGAGAACCTTAACCCCAAGGGTCCAAGTACCCAATAATCATGTACTCTCCAAAACCCTAACCTACATAACTACTATCCCAAAACCGAGTACCTAATTATCGTGTGCTTTGGACCCTTGGGGTTAAGATTTGCTCAAGGCCCGGGCGCCTGGGCTCCGTGGAAAGCCGGCTGGGTGCCGAGCATCCCAGGAGTCTCAGAGGGCCTTTGAGCGGTTTGTTGTGTTGAAAAAGGGGGAGTCTTTAGGGCTCCCGTAGGCTAAGGGTTTAGGGTTTAGGGGTTTTAGGGTTTAGGGTTTAGGGTTTAGGGTAGGGTTGAAGGGGTCGGAGTTTCAGGATTTCGGTGTTTCGAGTTCAGGCCCAGGGTTTTAAGGGTTTTAGGTTTTAGTGTTTGGGTGGGGCGGGGGGGTTGGTTCGGGGTTAAGGGGTTTACGGATTTGGGGTCCAGGGTTTAGGACTTTAAGGGTTGGCTTAAGGACCGTAGGGCTGTATATAGCTTTTTTGGCTTTAACATGTTATCGAGTTAAGGTGTGGTGTTTGAGAGGGCTGGGGGCTTTGGTGCTTTTACGGAGTTGAGTACATATATCCTTTGATGTTCGTTTGTGAAACACCATCGCCATGAAAGTGGTTGACTTTTCTCCGGGACGCTGCAGATGATCAACAACCGCACGGAAGCTTTGGAATCTTCGAAGCAGGAGCTCATGCAGGAGAAGAACGAAGTGGAGAGCATGATCAGCAACGCGAAGAAGAGGAAGCTGCAGTTTGCAGCCGAAGGCACCGACGTCGACTTGGGCCCGGGCCCAGTGGCTGATGCAGCGACTTTGCTTTCGGCCTGCGCTTTACGAGAAAGCTCAGGACTTGGACAGCCACATCGCCGGGATCAGAGCCCGCGCCAGAGTGCAAAAAAAGACATCTCAAAGGATTGCAGCTCCCTCAGACTGTCAGGCTGCAGCAGACAGCCCAGACAGCCAAGGAGAGGAGGCGGCCGCCGCTACAGCTTCCCCTGACTCTAAGGCCGAAGCAGCTTCTGCAGCCCCCTTCCAAGACGGGCTAAGGCCGGCAGGTTGTCAGGTTAAGAACTTGCGTATCTTGTTATAACCCGCAATAGCAATATAGCCTCTACGACATGCCATCGAGTATAGCCCCTCTACCGCGAGACTTCAAGAAACAAAAGGCCCGACTTGCAAGAGACCACTGGCAGACCTTCATCTGGTTTGTCCATAGTTGTAGTACTGCTACTAACCACATAGTGTCAGCCATTTTCGTAGTAGTATTCATAGCAATAATAGTGGAAAGAAAGGGGTAGTAAGAATCACAGTACCAGTAAGAATATAGAAAAGGGTTCGGAGCTGACGATATAGACGGTTTAAGGTTTGGGGTTTAGGATTACTCCTGAGTCTGGCAGTAAAGGAGCCCTACACATGAAGACGCCCCACTTAGACGATCCCACCTCGACGCCCCACAACCCCAAAACCCTAAACCAATTAACCCTAAACCCCAAAACCTCAACCCTTCAACCCAAAACCCCTAAGCCCAAACCCTAAACCCCAAAACCCAACACCCCTAAACCTCTAAAACCCTTGTAGACACCCCTTAGGAGCTCTTTCAATTAAAGGAACCCTATAGAACCATGAACCTGAAAAGCATAGGTTGGGTACGGCCCCCGCTCAGTGACAGTTGGACAATATTCATAATATAGATATATAAGGCCCTTAATAGTGGCCCTATTATAGACTCTTACTGTATGGGGAAGCCCCAAACCCTAAAACCCTAAACCCTAAACCCCAAAACGGAACCCCTAAACCCTAAACCCTAACCTAAACCCTTTTTCCCTAAACCTTAAATCCTAAACCCTAAACCCTAACCTAAACCCTTATGGGGGCCGTACCCAAGGTCTCTCCGTGGTGACATCGTCGCCTGGCCTGACGAGGTCGGCTTGGGCTCAAAGCTTTTGAGGGTCATACTTTTCTATATAAGAGAACCATAAAACTAGGTACCCAAAAAAAGGGGTAGGGTATGACCCTCTGGGGAATTACCAATATTATTTTGGGGGTTCCTTATCCAGGGCTCTCTGTTCGACGTGTTTGGCGTTCCAGGCCCCAAAACATGTCAGTTAACATAGAGACAACAAAACATGTCAGTTAATTTAGATAGATATGATGATCTTTAGGGGAGTTCGTGTGCCCGGAGCTAGCATTTAACAACCCTGACTAGGACATTTGGGGATTTGGGGTTTGGATCGTGGAGTTTTTGTTGGGTTTCAGGGCTTGGGGCTCTCGGCTTCGTGGGGTTGTGTGTTTATTTAACAACCCTGACTAGGAGCTTGGGGATTTGGGGCTTGGATCGCGGAGTTTTTGTTGGGTTTCAGGGCTTGGGGCTCTCGGCTTCGTGGGGTTGTGTGTTTATTTAACAACCCTGACTAGGAGCTTGGGGATTTGGGGCTTGGATCGCGGAGTTTTTGTTGGGTTTCAGGGCTTGGGGCTCTCGGCTTCGTGGGGTTGTGTGTTTATTTAACAACCCTGACTAGGAGCTTGGGGATTTGGGGCTTGGATCGCGGAGTTTTTGTTGGGTTTCAGGGCTTGGGGCTCTCGGCTTCGTGGGGTTGTGTGTTTATTTAACAACCCTGACTAGGAGCTTGGGGATTTGGGGCTTGGATCGCGGAGTTTTTGTTGGGTTTCAGGGCTTGGGGCTCTCGGCTTCGTGGGGTTGTGTGTTTATTTAACAACCCTGACTAGGAGCTTGGGGATTTGGGGCTTGGATCGTGGAGTTTTTGTTGGGTTTCAGGGCTTGGGGCTCTCGGCTTTGTGGGGTTGTGTGTTCAAGGCTTCCTTCATATGACATCAGATATAGCGTTTTTAGGGTTCTCAGGGTTTCAGGCTCTGGGTTTTCAGGGTCGGGGGCTTCGGATCTTAAAGGGTTTCAGGGTTTGCCCAGCTTTTCAGTCGGACTCTGACTCAGCGGCTCGCAGTCTGGCATTGTGCCACTTGATCGCAGCATACCAGGCCCATCTCTCCAACACGCTTTGACCAAGCTTCACAGGGTTTTCCAGAAGAGCCATCCTGAGTTCAGCATGTCGGAGCAGGCCTGGGAGGCCCTGGGCAACTATTGATGGAAGCTATAGGGCCAGCCAAGTTTCCTTTTGATTCTGCCGACCAAGTCCTCTTCTTGGTAGTTCGCCACCCGCAATGGGTTAGTCAGTGCAGCAGTATCAAGCACTAAGTGGTCTAACCTTTGCTGCTCGCAGCGCTTTGTACCTACTGAGTTCCATGTGTTTTAAATTAACTTTCAGGGCGTAATGCCGCAGGATCCCTACGGGTGATTGGCAGGGAAAGGGAGAGGCAACACGGTGCAGCCAAGACTCGCATGAAATTTTGGTCTGATTTTCCAGAGTAATTTCCGAGCCGTGACAGCTTCACGGGCCAGTCCTTGGATCAGGCAAGGCAGACATGATTCTCGAGGTCTGCGAAGTGAATCTATCGATCGTGCTATACGTATACTTAGCCGCAGAATGTTAACTTCTCGAAGCCTGGAAGAACTGATGTATGGACAGGGCTCCCATGAGAGAGCAATGATATAAATCACTGAAAAACTCTGCTCGTTCTCGTTCCTGCTCACTCACCACACAGCCTGCATCTGTGAAGGTGCATCGAAGTTGGTCCAGCCCCACGAATACGCCAGCACGGAGCAAGTCGTGGTGGCTGTTTGTAGCAGAAGCCACAGCCCAACATTTCTCAGCCAGCCAGCGCACCAGGACTATGGACTCCTGGATGAATATATATTACTTAAAAGATCGAGATCGATCTAAGGATCCTTATATCTCAAAAGTCAAAATTCTGTCCAGACCCAGGCACTGCACCACTCAAATGTTTCTGGGCCAACGTAGGAAACTTCCCAGTAGCAGGATTGGCCTTCATTGCAGTGAGATCGAACGGTGGAGCTTTGCAGCCTCGATTCGTCTCTTAAACTGACCAAGCAAAACTAATCCCTAACCGTTAACCGACCCCGTAATATGTTCACACTAGGCCCCCCCATATCCCCGCCCGAAAAAAAGAAAAGGGTATCACAAACCCCTATATCGGATCCCAATATTCTTAGCGCTTATATAATCCCGAGCACACGAATCTCCCCAGGGTCTGTTCATACTTTACATGATTCCATGCATACGTGCCATGCGGCGCACACGTTCCGCCCTGCATGCCGCAGCAAACTCGGCATAGGCATTGCTGAGTCGCTCTTGCTGATCACGGCCTTGAGGGCCGACTCTGGAGAAGGAAATACTGCAACCCATTTAGCAGCTCGAGTTTTAAATTCACCACAGACGATTTTATGCAACTTCTAGGCCTGGCCAGTGCGTAGCATCCACCGTCATTTCCAAGAGGGCCTGTATAGGCAACACATTTCAGATTCAACACAGACCAGCACTTCCGTGCCGTTACTACAGACAACCCTTCGCCGAAGCTATGTAGCCACGCTGCTGATGCCGCGGCGTCAGGTGCCAAGGCCAGATCAACAATATGCAAGTAGTCCGGCCATATACGAGAGGGCGTCATGCCGGGGCATAGCAACCAGGGGCTGCGAGCAATGCTCTGGAAGAACTCTTGATCTGTTGTCAACCTTGGCCGGGACGGAGTACCCTGCATAGACCACATGCTACAGGTTTGTTCACCGGAACCAAGATTAACAAATCAAACGTGCATGCAGTAGGGAAACGTACTGCGGTGCCGTGCATTAATGCCAGTTTCCGTGTACAGCAGCCCAGTGCTTGCATCAGAAGAAGCCTTCAGGGGTCAGAACTTTTGGGTTTGATTTGACCCACCCGAGTTCGAGAGGTCTTTAGATTAATCACTGCCCGGTTGAAGACTGCCCAGCCTTGCAGAAGGGACAGATATTAGAGCTCACCCACGAATTAGACAGCTTGAGAACCTTCTTGATGTATGCTTGATCACCTTTCATGCCGACCCAGACTGCCCTGAAGGGGCCCATGATGCTCCGGCTTTCTCGGCGAGCAGCTGTCGACGTCGGCAGCGGGTGACCAAAAGCATCGTGATCAAACAGGTGGCCCATCTGAAGTTGTTGAAAACTCCATACCACCTGCAGATCCAACTGCCCCATGGTGTACTCGGATGATTGTGCGTTGTCCAAACAGTACATTACAAATAGCGTGTCCAGAGTCGCACCACGAGTAAGGGCAGATTGAAAGCTTGTCACCAAGAAGGTTCTCCGTCTGTGGGAGTCAGCATCATCCCCATGAACCTCCAGGGGAATGACCCTTGCCAGCTCGGCGTCCTTAGGTTCACCAGTTGGATAATCGATGATGCCCGGTCTCCAAAGCCGGACTTGGAGTGATTATTGTCTAGCAGCACCAGAAAATGCAGTTAACTGCCCCACTCGAAACCCTAAACCCGTGAATGCGGACCAGGAGCTGATAAGGTTGAAAGGAGGGGATGGCGCTGAAACCACCTCTGTTGCATAAACCATGCATGCATGGGACATACCCAGCATCCTGTGTCACCTCTAAAGTCACAGAAATATTGCCGATCGAGTTGCTCGGTGTGCTCAATGTTTTTCCAGAAACGAAGAGCATCCTCGGTTTAACGACTGATTCACCAATCCGAGGTGGGTCGATGCAGCTGCTTTCTGGATCCCTGAGCGGGAGATCATGCTGTCCAAGGCACACCGTCATTGCCGAGGAATAACCTTTTGAATTCATCCATCGAATAGTTGTAGACACACCGTAGCCTCAGGAGCTGAGGGATCGATAGCCAACCCATATAGGTTTCATGGACAAAATTTTGCACGACCGTATTGGGAATTAAGATATAATTCCTTGTCTATTGGGTCGGGTCATCGGCATGAGTCTTAGCCCCGAGCGTGTCGTGCGGCAGCATGACGTGCCAGGTGGATTCATATATCTGGTCTTTCTTCGGCTTCTTCTTGTCGACCAAAAGAACTTTGACCCTGGGCTGGAATATATTGCTGCCAAAAAAAACGCACTGAAACACTAAACCCTCCGTCAGGCCTACGAGTTTAGAAAGCATTTGAAGCCCACATTGAAGCAAGGATCTCTGTGGGCCTCGGTAATATTTTTCGCCAATCTTGTCGATTGATCCAGTTCACAAAGTTGCGGTGGGCGTTTTTGTCACTGGAGTATCCGGCTAAGTCTTGCAAGGAAGGCCTTAGCCAGCAGCACTCGGCGCATGCACGGTGGGAGTTCGGATGATGCTGCAGACAAAAGTCGGAAGCCACATCGATGGAATGCGGTTGGCGATCGCATCAAAGACCCGTTTAATCTTCCAAGCCGACAGTGTATTCGACAGTTCAAGCAGCTCTTGCACTAAGTCCATCGGGTCACGTCCTGCATTACTTTGCATCTTCGGTGGTTTCCAGAAGCCCGCCCAAACCCAACTCGAAACCCAAGACAGTCCTTGAAGTCGGTGTAGATGCCAGCAACAGGCCGGGACCAGGATAAAGAATCATAAATCTCATCGATCCAGGCAGATCCCAGCATTGCCGATTATATGGATCCTTGGCGAATCCGACTGGTCCACGTTTCTGGGTTTCGGTTTAGGCATTTCAAGCACAGCTTAGCTTTAATGGGTTTGGGGCATATCTGAGTTAAGTCGGAGAGACTCGGCCTTGTAGATCACCGGTCCAGAGGCTGCATATATATCCATCGTGTCAGGACGAAGGCCATTTGGATCGATCACAGACAAAAGTGCTGGTTAAAAGTAGGGCTCCATAACATATGTTATATTAGGGGATTCAGCCAGAACAATTTGGGAGTTTAGGGATTTAGGGGATTTGGGGGTTTACGGATTTAGGGGATTTAGGGGTTTAGGGATTTAGGGCTATTATGGGGTATAGGGCTTACTGGGCTTTTAAATTCATGGGATATCAAATCACACTAGATCCAGCTGACGGTCCTTGCATTTGGATTTAAGGTCCGGTGGCTTCAGGTTCAAAGCCGTGCCTTTATATTTGTGAGGTTATACATCGATCTTCGAAATCTATTATCGGGTATAGGGCTTTGGGCTTAGAGGCTTAGGATGAAGCAGCACTGGGGACCCATGCGAGCACCTGGGACTTGGATCTTGATGCAGCTGCACTGGCACACATGCAGTACTTGCTCAGCAGGCACCGCAAATCATATATGGTGTACTTTAACGAAGATACTGGCCGGCATGCAGGCTCCGACTCTTTTGCACGTTCCTCGGCCAAGGTTCACCCTGGCATATTGCAAGCAGCTGTTGCTTGACACGGCTTTATGTTCCCCTGCACCCCATAAATTTAGTGCAGCATAGATCAGACTACGACAGCACATGCTCAGGAGGCCATGCAGGATTGATTGGAGCTAGTTGCACAGATCTAGATCGATCAACACCCACCCAGAGGCTTCCTGGCAAAATGCAGACATAATCAATCACTGGAGTAGAAACTCGCACACAGGATCGATGCTTCAGATCTGTTCGTGGTTCCCGGGGCGCCCCAGGACTAGTTCAACATCATTTAGCCTAGATTTCACCGGCCATCCTTGCACACACAAGCTGGGCTCACTCAGATCTGTTCGTGCTTCCCGGGGGTCCCTAAGGGGTTCTGGGTTTAGGATAATTATAGCTAGTAGAAGCCACAAAGTTGGAACATGACTTTCTAGGAGGATCCCATGTGCTGATAATGATGTTCCAACTTTCTGGCTTCTAGGGGTCCTAATACTTTAGCCAGGTAGACTGTGTGCACTGTGCAAAGAGGCCCAAACCGAATATGACATTTACTGTAGGAACTATACAGGAAGGCTCAAGACCCAATATGTCATTTCTTATAGGATCTATACAGGAGCGGGATGCAGGATTTTGGTGACAAACCTATACATGAAATACCCGACATACCATATATGAGTATTTCGCGGTAGCAGAAATTAAAATTGAATCTGCATCTCTTCACCACAGACCCTGCTCGCAGCCGAGACAGCATGCAGAAACAATGATTGTACTGTTCTTATAGTTGAGCCGAGGTGGCCTTCGTCTCTCCACACTTCTGCGGCAGCTGCCCTTCTGCAGCAGCCCCCCTTCGAAGATCTGCATGTCTGCGCGACTTGCTTGGCACATATGCTTAATTAACTAATGTGTTTGCACACCATAGATCAAACTACGTCGACGTGCCACAGCTAGCATGTGCCTTTTTAGGAACTGGGGCCTCGGGGTCTAGATTTGTAGGGGTATGATATAATAAATAAAGTAGGCACAGGCTAGCTATGGCACGGTGCAAAACAGTAGAGTTCGAAACGGCAAGATCGGCGCTGGAGAGCCTTAGAGTACCTATACCTTGATCCTTGGCACCAAACCCTTCAAGTCTTAAGCTAGGGCCCTAAATATAGCTGTAGATAAACCTAGTATCAACGGTCGACCTCCCCGTGCTTAAAATCATCAAGCTGGGCTCACTGCATCAATTATCTTGGCCGGCATCCTAAGCGTATGCCCACCGATGAGCACCTAGTTTTTATCAGGTCCCTGGCACGCGAGCTGGGCTGTAGAATCAAATCTCGATACCCTGGATTGAATTGCATTCAAGGCTCCTGCATCACGATAAAAGCCGTGACAGGCATCTCAAAAAGATCCCATCGATCATCGCATGTCCTCAGATCACAGTCATGCACGAGGATGTAGCTTACCAGGGTTTGGGGATGAGGGTAAGCAGTTTTTTGGGGCTAGAGGTTCGAGGGTTTCAGGTTAACGGGGTATTGAGGAGATTGAACGGTTCTGGTGCATGAGGCCCTGACTATTTTTTCGTGCTAGCTTAATACGATGTAGAATACATTCATCTAGGACAGCACACATGGCGCTTCTTGGGTTTAGGTTTGGGGGTGCCCTGTGCCAACTTAATTGTTTCATTAGCATCCCTGGCTGGCCTCAACGGCCTTCGCCAGCCGACGTCTCTCCGCCCTTGGAAGGCTTCACACCGTGAGCTTTGCAACGTCTGTTGCCTTCTTTGATATCCACATATACAGGCTTCATCGCGTCCTGAGCCTTTTCCATTGCCCTCTTCTTCCCAGCCATGTCAAGCTCCGGCACTTTGCTTTCTTCGTCGAAGGTGTTGATGATATTTTTCACGGTCTCCTTGTGGCTTTCCAGGCTCTTGCTCAACTCGGCACTGTGCGGCACTTTTGTCAAGTCCGCAATCAATGCTCCAAGCTTTGCATCATCCTGCAACAGCCTTCAGTGCACGAGAGCTGGAGGTCTTTAGGGTTTCAGGGTCCTAAAAACTCCGTATAATGAATGTACACCGATATGCTAGGAGCCGGGCTTCTTGAAGAGAGCCACCATGCCCTTGTCGGTCTCTTGTTCTGGTGTGAGATTTTTTTTGCGCTTTGGCAGCTTAATCTTCCCATCAGTGCCGAGGGTGGCTGCATTCTGTGTCAAGTCATCAGCAAACTGTACCAGATTCTCTTGCAAGGCTTCGGCGGATCCTTTGCTTGTCACGCGGGCAGAGACCTTCACCTGCAAGAAGACGGGCTTGCAGGGTTTGGAGTTTCATAGTTGAGTGTGAGACATGCCACACCGAAATTAATCATACTTGAATGCCTCTTGATCATGTTCTCGGCACCTCTCTTTATCGTCGGCGATCTCCTTCAAGATCTTGAACATACGTGATCCGAGGATTTTCGAGTTAGGCGCCTGAGATCCACAATGCGAGCCAACAACTCGATCCGAGGTATATTCCGATGATCTGCGACCAAAGAACCTGTGGGTGTGGCATGCCGTCTCCCTGGCCTTGGCCGCAATTATTAGGGTTTAGTTTAGGCCGGGTTTAGGGAATTGGGGTTACGGTTTAGAGTTTCGGGGTTTTAGGAAACGCGAGGGTCTAGGGCCTTTACACAATAGCAGGGCCCGGAACCTGTATGATTGCGTGCACGAGTTTTGGGTGCGAAAGGTTAAGCGGTGAAGCCATCTAGGAGAGGGAGAGGGAGAAAACATCAAAGAACCATATCCGGAGCCCAACAATTAATACTAGGGTTCAGGGTTAAGGATTTCGGATACTGGAGGCCTAGCTCTTGTCTAAATAAACCCAACACCCCTTCGACCCTGTCCCCGGGTAGCTTTGCTACAAATAAACGAACCATATATCGGAGCATATATAGAATATTATATAGTAGGGTTCAGGGTTTAGGATTTCGGGTATTGGAGGCCTAGCTCTAAATAAACCCAACACCCCTTCGACCCTGTCCCCGGGTAGCTTTGCTACAAATAAACGAACGATCCGGAGCATATATAGAATATTATAGTAGGGTTCAGGCCAGGGGTTTAGGATTTCGGGTATTGGAGGCCTAGCTCTTTCCCGGGGAAGCATTGCAACAAGTGAACAAACCATATCCGGAGCCAAAGTAGAACTATACTAGGTTAAGGATTTGGGTTATTGGACGCCTAGCTCTCGTTTAAACAAACCCAACACCCCTTCGACCCTGTCCCGGGGTAGCATTGCAACATATAAGAAAAAGGCATGGGGCCAAGCTTCCCAATTCGGGTTCACTGACTCTTTGTTTTTGGTTGTGTGTTTCGGGTCGGGGTCGGGGTTCAGGGCTTTTGGTTTTAGCATCGGATGGCATTGGGCCCAGGGCAAGTTGCTTGGACAGCCACTGTATAGCACCGTGTAACCCAGACGCACAGTCCCAAATCCCAAAGCCCGGGATAAATTACCAGCAGCCCATGCGCACCCTAAACCCCTATATAGGTATAGCCTAGACAGACTAAACCGAAACACCGGCCTATACCGACAGAACCTAAACTCTTCAGCCCTCCAGCAGCTTCGCAACTAGATCAATTAAAGTGAGGAACGGGCTTTGGTTTCTAGTCTCGGCTCGGGGATCTCGAAAAAAACAAGGCTACACTTTGTGGAACTGACAAGCTTCTGCCTACGACCTGGCGGATTTTGCACTTGATCCTCGACAGCAACTATAAAATATTATAAGGAGACCCTGATCTGCATCCAAGCAGCCTTCGATCAACTCCTTGATGAAGGCAGCACCCTCTTCACCCGGGTACCACTTCTGTAGCTGGAACAAGGTAACCTGGGATGTCCGGGCAGGGCTTTGACTTATAAGAGTTTACATATTAGGACATAATCCGGCAAGTTTTGCATGCAAGCCACCGTCGGGTACTTATCTTTGTGTGAGTCCCGCACAACCGAACGGCACTTATCCTCAATCGTGATGTTCACCATGCTTGGGTCCAGGATGACCTGCTTCATGAACTCGAACCTTTGCTAGCTCAGGACGACCCTGCACACTATTGCAATTGCAGTAAGATAAACTGCACACAATGCATGCCGGCACACCGTTCGTTGTCTGTCTTCATCAGATCATATTTTCGAACGATAGCTGCATCAACCCCCGGCGCTCGGACCAGCCTTCCGGCCCGCGCGTACATAGTCTTTCGCTCGGCATAAGGCATGTCCTAGTCCGGATGGAGATGTTAAGGTCGTGCGGGAGACGGTATTGAATTTCGGGGTTTAAGTCTTAAAGGGCTCGGAGCATAGTACTTGGGATAAGAGTATAATTCGTATTTGACAGACCAAGTTTCACTTGGCTGCGTCATGGCTTGGAGTCGGGCTCTCTGCTGAGCACTGAGTGTGACCCTGACTTTTCCACGACCGAGCTTCAGGAAGCCTGTGGCATCCTTGTTGGGGGAGCTTTTGCTCTTCGGGGATGCTTGCTTGGCCTTTGCAGGGGAGGCTTTCGTGGAAGCCTTGGGGGAGCTTTTGCCCTTGGGGGATGCTTGCTTGGCCTTCGAAGGGGAGGCTTTCGGGGAAGCCTTGGGGGAGCTTTTGCCCTTGGGGGATGCTTGCTTGGCCTTCGAAGGGGAGGCTTTCGGGGAAGTCTTGCCGGAGCTTGTGCCCGTCTGCGTGGATGCCGTGCCACCAGTTTTCGAAGCCTCGGCCTAGGATCGAGTATCACCAAAATCTACAAGACTATGGTACGTGTATTTGGGGTTGACAGCATGCAGTTAACATACATAGGTATAATGGCCAAAACCGAAGGTGCCATTTAGTCTGGGAACTATACAGGAAGGCGGAAGACCCAATATGTCAGTTCCATTAGGATCTCTACAAGAGCGGAATGTAGGTTTGGAGTATGCAAATGGCCAAAACCGAATGTGTCATTTAGTCTGGGAACTATGCAGGAAGGCGAAAGACCCAATATGTCAGTTCCATTAGGATCTCTACAAGAGCGGAAGGTAGGTTTGGAGTATGCAAATGGCCACAACCGAAGGTGTCATTTAGTCTGGGAACTATACAGGAAGGAGAAAGACCCAATATGTCAGTTCCATTAGGATCTCTACAAGAGCGGAATGTAGGTTTGGAGTATGCAAATGGCCAAAACCGAAGGTGTCAATTAGTACAGGAACTATGCAGGAATTCAGCGAAAGTGTGAATAATTAGGATCTATAGGGCAGAATGTATGCAAATGGCCGAAACCTTCGTGTCATAGGAACTTTATAATATAGGCGAAAGACTCGATCAATATGTCAGAGGATCAGTACAACAGCGGAATGTGGCACGTGGTAGTCAAGGATGCAAGTTCCACCCGGGTTGGGGTATACTAGGATCTGAAACCAACCCGGCCTTTATACTGTGCCCTGAACCCCGGCCCTAAGCCCTCTAATTTAAGCTACAACCCATATACACCATCATCTAAGGCTACGGCTGCCGGGCTGGACTTCCCACGGCGACGGCGAAGTGGAGTGGCTACAGGACGCTGCACTTTTGGTGACAAGCATGCACCTTTCCTAGGCGGGGTCGTCAGGAGGGGCTGCGGGGCACCCTCAGCATCCTTCATCCTCTTGTTTGGTTGCAATACCTCATCATCGGGAGCTCGGCGCTTCTCACCTCCTTCGGAAACCTTTGGCATGGTGTAGGGGTTGCCGGTTATAAAGCTGGGGTTTTAACCATGTACAGCTGGGGCTCTGAATGTGTTTCGAGGCTGCATCTTTAAACCGGAAATGCCTCGGGATTCCTGGATCATACGACATCTTTATTATTTCTCCTACTACCGTCGCTTTGCAGATTTGCACGTGCGGATTCAGGTTTACAACTCGGGCTCTCAATGTACATCTTTTGCGGCTGCTCTTAAAAACCGGAAATCGTACTCTCGAAACCTCACAGCCAGCCCAACCAACCCATGCTGGACCATAATAGCTATATAGCTTAAATATATCCTAGCCATAATAGACACAAAACCCCACCCCCCTACACCCCTAGACCCCTTACACCCAAGACCCTCAACCCGAAACCCAGAAAATGTTCGGACTACAAATTGAAATCCCCCGCGCGCCTCGCTCTGTCTAGACTTCTTATCAGTACCTTGCAGCTCCTCCATTGGTCTTTTTTTGTTGGGCTTCTCCTTGCTTTCCTTCGGCTTTGTCTTCTCCTCCGGCTTCTGCTTCTGTGTCTGCTGGTCTGGCTTCTCCTTGCTTTCCTTCGGCTTTGTCTTCTCCTCCGGCTTCTGCTTCTGTGTCTGCTGGTCTGGCTTCTCCTTGCTTTCCTTCGGCTTTGTCTTCTCTTCCTGCTTCCCCTTCTCTGGCTCCTTGCCTGGCTTCTCCTTGCTTTCCTTGGGCTTTGTCTTCTCTAGCTTCTGCTTCTCTGGCTCCTTGCCTGGCTTCTGCTTGCTTTCCTTCGGCTTCGTCTCCTGCTCCGGCTGCTGCTTCTGTGGCTCCTTGGCTGGCTTCTGCTTGCTTTCCTTCGGCTTCGTCTCCTGCTCCGGCTGCTGCTTCTGTGGCTCCTTGGCTGGCTTCTCCTTGCTATCCTTGGGCTTTGTCTTCTGTAGCTTGCCCGTCTCTGGCTCCTTGGCTGGCTTCTCCTTGCTTTCCTTGGGCTTTGTCTTCTCTAGCTTGCCATTCTCTGGCTCCTCACCTGGCTTCTGCTTGCTTTCCTTGGGCTTTGTCTTCTCTTGCTTCTGCTTCTCCGGCTCCTGACCTGGCTTCTCCTTGCTTTCCTTCGGCTTCGGCTGCTCCTTTGCTTTCCGCTTCTCTGGCTCCTCACCTGGCTTCTCCTTGCTTTCCTTGGGCTTTGTCTTCTCTGGCTTCCCCTCTGGCTCCTTGCCTGGCTTCTCCTTGCTTTCCTTGGGCTTTGTCTTCTCTGGCTTCCCCTCTGGCTCCTTGCCTGGCTTCTCCTTGCTTTCCTTGGGCTTTGTCTTCTCTAGCTTCTGCTTCTCTGGGTCCTTGCCTGGCTTCTCCTTGCTTTCAAAGGGCTGCTTGGCCACCTGCCAGGAGACTCGAGCAGCTGCAAGATCGATGGAGCCCCGTGTCATCAATAGGATTCGGGCGGGTTTATAGGTTTAGGAATAGAAATTGGGGCTAAGGGTTTTAGGGTTCTTGGCTTATTTTAGTTGTACGAGCTCGGCCTGTGTCTGCTGGTCGATTAGAGTTGCCTGTGTGTCCAGGTGGTCAGGCTGGGTCTGGTCCAGGATACCGGGTACGGTTGCTTGAGAATCCTCAAACCTAGGCAGCTCGATCGTGGCATGGCCCAAAAGGCAACCCAGAACAATGCGTGCATATTTGCAGCTGTGGTGCATTGGGATACTAGGCATCGTGTCGATGCGTTCGGGGCCCACAATCTTTCCCATCGATCGAAGATCTTCAAATGTCTCGAG